TTTCTACGTTGGTGGACCTTGGGGTTGTCGGAAGTCAGGTGGTGAGTTTAATGCAAAATCTGATCATTCTCGGATTCACTTGTGTCCTGTTCGCGTCTCGTGTCTTGTCACGTTCTCTTGTCTTGTTCACGACCCGTGCTTGCTGGGAGTGAGTGAGCACGTTTTAACCATTTGTGACTGGATACTATCAAGAGGAGATATAGCCTTCGTTCGTTTGACCAAGTGGTGTGATGCTGGTGATTTTGAAGACCGGAGTTGAAGTGTTGGCTGGTAACGATTTGGAGGCAGTGTTACCACCCGTTGAAGTAGCGGGTTGGTATGGGTGGCRGGGATCGCCCGCGAGATTGGGGTGACCGACGTGATCGGTACAACGATGAAGGAAGACGCGGTCGAGATAATGGCGACCGCCATCGGACGCATGAGCATGAGGCACGTGAGCGGCAACCGGAGTTCTCCAAGCCCGTACGGAGATTGCCTCCAGTTTGCTTTGGCTGTAAGGTACCTGGTCACTACAGAAGCGACTGTTGGAGATTTTGGGCCGATGCTGATACTAGGAGTCAAGCAGAGCAGGATGGCTATATCTGCCCTCCAGAGTTCGAGAGACGTGGCCGCTCGACATCACCAAGAAAAAATTATGGAGCAACTGTATACCGCTCACCGTCGGTAGACTCGAAGAGTACTTCGAAATTGGAGGAACTGGGCGAGAGTATCGCAAGCCTAAAGGAACTCATTGACCTCGAGAAGGTGAGGCATGTGGAGAAGGAAAGGAAAAGACTGGCTAAGGAGGAGATTAAGAAACGGGAGATGGAAGCACGTCAACGGGAGGAGGAGGAGCGCCTAGCGGAGGAGGCTCGTTGCATGAGGAAGTTAGAGAAGCAAAGGAAACGTGAGGAGGAGCAATTGGCAATGACCAAAGCGGTTGAAATGCAGCTGGCGGTACGACTGGGCAAGATCCATGAGGACATAAAAAATGAAGTTCGAAAAGTTGTCGAGAAAGGGAAGGAGAAAATGAAGTTACCTTCCTCTTCGGGAACGACAAACAAGCCAAATGAGGTCGAGGCGATCACAACCGCTACAAAGAATCTGGCCATCGCAGAAAAACGGAAGCGGGGCGAAGTTACTGCGGTGGGAGACAGTCCGCCAGTTGCCACACCTGCAAAGAAGACTAACTAGAGATCAGGGATCCGACATCTGCGTTTCTCCGAGCGTCCACATCGGACACGTACACGGAGTAATCGAAGACTGGTGCGTGCTACACCTGCGAAGGCCATAACCGCGATCAAGCCGCCTGTTCGGAACCTGGCGATGGAGCGGTTAATGTTTTTGGATAAAAAACGGCGAACGCTGGCTACTGCTGACTGTGACCAGCGGAAGGAATTTTGTCGTCTTGAAGGGGTTACGTATACCACGAAGGTGCAAGTCATCTTCGATCTTGCCGATGCAAGGGCACGAGCAAGGTTCGGATCGGGGCTATCAGGTACTGACCCGCCGGAATTGGAAGATGATCATGACGGCAAGGTGAGCCACGAGAGCTCGGATGACGGTTCTCAGTGACGAGGGTTTGCCGATGAACAATGGTTGGGTATCTGTGAGGTGTTGATTGCCTTTCGTCGCTCGCATGGTTGTCCTGACCTTGATGTAGAGTATGTTTTCCGATTGCTTGTACTGTATCTTGCCCTTCGAGGTTTTTGCCGATGGCTATGCAAATGTATCGATGCTTGGCTCGCGCTGTTTTCTCGTTTCGGACTTGATTTTCTGACACACCCTTGCTGCGTTTATGTCGTCACGTCAACCAAATGTAGATCGCAATATATCGGAAAGACCGCTAGGGAACCTGACACCCGATGGAAGGAACACGTGTCTGTTTGGAAAAGGAAAGGGAAGTCAACGCACCTGTATCGGTAGTGGTTGAGATTTGGGATCGAAACGTATGTACTAATCCCGATAGATGTGTGTGAGGAAGCAGACCTCCTAACTACTGAAACGCTGTATATTAGGAGATGGTGCCCACATCTGAATACTGTCGGGTGTGAGGTTAGGACAAGAACGAGGAACAGGAGGAAGGGTAAGAAGGAAAGAGCGCGAAGGGATGGGTTACCAATAGTCACGAAACCACGGAGCTTTCGACCCATACGTTGTAGACTAGCGAATGAAAGCACTTGGACAGTATATGTGTTTGATTTGTTGAAGCGGCAGGATGCTGGAGGTTGTCGGGATTTCAGTATTGAGCTCAGTTGGGGTAATTGTTGGAGTGATCGATGGCGTAGACTGCGGAAAGCTTTCGGATCTTCATCAGTAGTGGTCAACGGGAAGCCTGGCGTTTTCAAAGATTTTAAGGTCAACTATGAGTTGGGATGCACTCTGAAGATTACGTACTTAAGACGTTGGAAACCAAGGACAGGTATTAATAAGCCCTTCTTAGTGTCCTTGTTAAAAAATCCAAAGAGATATGAGTCTTTTAAAAAATGGGACTTACACTCTCTGGCTGGATTATTCTCATCTGTTAAAGATTTTGAGCGTAAGTCTACAAGAACGTATTTGAGGCGCCTGATTTCTCGTTGTATACATGATAGATTTGGTTTTAATTTGTCAGCACACTTCGTTGTTCGCTTGCTGTTTGACGACCGCGGTAAGTTGGCTGAAGTTCGAAAACTGGTAAATGACAAGCTAGGGGGGTTGTGCCTTCCGCCTTGTGTTAAGAAACGAGCACGATCAAAGATCCGTATCATTTGGACAAAGAATCCGAGTGTTGCGGATTTATTGCATAATCAGCGCAGATTCGCCCATGCTGATGTGTCTGCCTGCACCTGTGTAGGCTTACCTTACCCTCGGGTAAGAGGTCACGTGCAGTTTCGACTACATGAGATTGAAGGAGTGCCTGCGTTGTTGTGCAACGCAAAAAACGTTCCGAAACCGCCACGGAATGACAGGTTACTCATTCTGAAACAGGAAGTGGAAGTGGCTTTCGCAAGTTGGCCGAATGGCAAGAGCCAGAAGGTGAGTTGCTCTATGACTGAGCTCGCTGCATGCTTACAGGATCGACCGGAACCCTATAAATGTACGGGGCAGGAGGTGGTTCACGAATGGGGGAAGAAATTGGAAGGTTTGGTGCTAACCCCATTGGATCGGAATCCGGGCGTGACAATGGTCATGTGCCCGCGAATTTATTACGAGGGAATGATGAACCTGTTCATTAGAAGTGAGGGCTATTCTGTTGTCGACAACCACGCCAATGATGTCCTATTGGAGATGAAGAAGGATCTGAGCATCAGTAAAGTGGAAGATTTTGCAAGATGGGATAAGAAGGGCACTTTTGGACATGCTTATGCTTTGCCTAAGCACAAGGATCCAAATCGGTTTCGACCGATTTGTCCATCCTTCCAGGAACCCACTGCAAAAATGAGTAAGGCAGTGGCGAAAGCACTTAACCCCCTACTTTGCACAATCCCTGCTGATTGGCACTTTAACCTGAAGGATGTTTCACAATTGACAAAGAAGATTGAGGAAGGGAACCGTCGCATTTGTAGAACGGCCCCGGAGATGGTCGAGTCTTAGATCATACGATGTTAAGGATATGTTCAGTCTGTTGTCCCACGGGGAGATTGTGCAAGCAGTCAAATGGTTGATAGAGTATCATGAGGGAAAGGGGAAGAGTTTTGTCCGAGTTAATACCCGAGGACGTGGAGCAACCTTTGGCAAGACAACGGGATATGACCACGGGAGGAAATTGGAATTTGACGACATCTTCTGTTTCGTTGAATTCGAACTCTCACATACGTACACGATGGCTCTGAACATTCTAGTAAAACAAGAAGTGGGCATCCCGATGGGGAAAAGCACAAGCCCACCTCTTGCTTGTATCATGTGTGCAAAAGCTGAGTTCGATTTCTTGCAGCATTTGGGAGAAAGACGTAGGAATGTCTACGGGATTCGGCTGATTGATGACGTGGGAGTGCTTGTGTTTGGAAATGGAAGTACGATGCGAAAGGAGATCTTGGATGCTTTTGAGCACACGTATCCCTCTAATCTGACTTTAAAACGGACAGATAACGGGGGAAACGTGTGGGATTTTCTGGGATGTGAGGTCCGAGTAAACGATCAATATCCATATGTTGAGTGCGTACAATTGTCGAAAAACGAGGCTACCATATGGAAATCGGAGTCACTTGAATTTCAGAACGGACAGTTATTCAGCTCATGGGGGAGTAAAAGCCAGAAAAGTGCTGTGATAAACAGTTATTTGCATCGTATTGACAGGAACACAACGGTCCGCTCTGAAATCCCACGAAGAGTGGTTACTTTGAAAAGAGAAATGCGCATGAAGGATTTCCCGGCAAAATTCTTTGACCGAGTCTTGAAAGGGTTTGCCCATGGCAGGGACGAACCTGGGCCATGGACCTCCGAGTTGATTACAACTGTCTGACCGGCTATAACAGGACAGGAGTGGTGCTCTGATGGTTCTATCTTGCAAAGATCGCCTGAGCAGTTTGGTCGAATAGGATAGTGGAAGGATTTGAGTGCCTTTGTTTTTTCCCTACGTTTGAACTTGGATACTCGGATTACTAAGATTAGGGGGATGGGCAGGTCACGAGCTTGAATCCGGACTGTTCTCTGATTTGACAGGGTACCGGTAGGATTTGTGTCAGTGCGTGAGCCAGGGACTTCTCGATAAGGGAGTTCTACGTAGATAACTGGGATGGGTTAGGTCGTGGGCTCGAACCCAGCCTGGTCTGTGTCATAATTTGAGTCGCGAGCTTGAATCCGGACTGTTATCTGATTTGACAGGGTACCGGTAGGATTTGTGTCAGTGTGTGAGCCAGGGACTTCTAGGTAAGTGAGTTCTATGTAGATAACTGGGATGGGGTAGGCCGCGGGCTCGAACCCGGCCTGGTCTGTGTCATAATTTGAGTCCTTCGTTTGTTCCCCTTGGGCCCGGGACGTAGGTTTTGAGTGGAGTGGTTTTGGCCCGGCATCGGTCCTCGAGCCAAGGGCCTATGTGTGGTTTTGGTGTTGGCTCAGTACCCCAATCTAGGGAGTTGCCGGGAGGTGGTCACATAAATAGAATGGTTGAGTAGCGTTAATCCTCTTTCTTTCGCTAATGGTTCTACCATTAGCAGAAGCTGGGTTTGACGGTCGCGTTGATGGACCTTGGGGTTGTCGGAAATCATGTGGTGAGTTTAATGCAAAATCTGATCATTCTCGGATTCACTTGTGTCCTGTTCGCGTCTCGTGTCTTGGCACGTTCTCGTGTCTTGTTCACGACCCGTGCTTGCATGCTCAAGTTAATCACGAATGCGTGTGGTTACGTATTCTTGAATGCATTTTTGTCTCATAATACCTTTGTACACTCTTCTCTCAACTTCTGTTTCTTTTACCTTCCATTACCTACTCCTAAGACTATCTAGAGGGGACCCCTGCAAGCATAGTTTTCCTCTCTCTGTGAAGGGGAGATTTCATGTTGCCCCTTGCCCCTAATGGTTAGGGTATAGGGTTGGGGCCGCCAGTGGGGGTCTGGCTAACACAAAGACCGAGACCTGCCAGTAGCTGTGCCTCCCTTTCTCATCGTCCCCCACCCTTCATGGAGTAGCATCAGAGGCTATGACCAACACTCTCCCACACACCACACACAACCCACTCGCGCTCACACTCACACCCGTGTTGGTCATAGACCCCGCTAATACCGATCAGGGGTATCCAGAGGACTATCACAGTCCGTTGGCACTAAGTGCGCCGCAGGTGGCCATGGGGCTTGAACCCACAACCTCCTGAACGCCACTTGCATGCCTAACCAACTGAGCTAGGCCGCTGGATAGCACTCACAATTCTCCCCGTCATAGAGAACTAAGTAAGTATATAAAATACATCCGATTTAATTTATTTATTAGTAATTTAAATTATTACCCAAAAAGAACTAAAGCCCCAAAGACCTATGATGGTTATAAACATGCATATGATTTTCTTTGTTAACAGGAGAATCATACTGATGATGTAAAACAAAAGACCCTTAAACCACCACTACTTCCTCAAGTCCAGCCCCTTAACTCACCACGATTTTAGGAAACGTACAGGCCACTACAGGAGCGTCCAAATTCATCCAACTAGAAACGTTTCTACTCTAATTTTTTTCCGTGGCCGATAGCTGGGCCAAGTACTGGTGTTTTAATACGGGCGATCCCAAGTGCAATGAAGTTGCCTTTACCAAGAAAATTCGGGAACTGATTACGATAAAAAAGCATAACATAATAAAACCATAATGGTACACAAGCCACTTTGAACTTTGAAGTGTACTTATTTGCTTTGCTAATTAGCCTAATTCTTGAAATGTGGTGGAAATTCCATAGGGAGT